CACATATACTATTATTTAATAGCGCATATCTCCTCTCTTGCTTCTATTAACATAATTAAAACTATGGGTAGGACAATTGCGACTGTTACAGGATCATATGAGCAGCGATTTTAAAGTGAACTACTCATATATAATACTATGAAATATAAAGTGTATGTATAATTGTATTTATTGTGCACATGCAACAGTCAGTACTTCTCTGTTTAGTAGAGAGCGGAACAACTCAAGCAAGAAAGAAAATTAATTACCATGGAAAATCAGAACAAAAAACTTTTATTTGCAGGGGCAGGGGCCTGACCAGCATGGCTGCCAGACATACAGAGTGGGGGCTCCTTACAAACTTCTTGTAACTTTCACTCCTGCAGTGGGTTTATACCCACAGACACAACTCAACCACCTGCTTACCTGCTACGGACTACTGTGGAGTCTATTTGGGCATGTTTAGGGCACCACCCCACCCTCTGTGGCCCAATTACATATTGTGGCCTATAAGCTTGCAGAGGGAGGGAAAAGCAGCTGAGGGAGGGAGAAGCGGCTGATCTCCCAACCTGGAGCCACTGGCATCTGCAGTGCCTGAAGTGACAGCCCTGTAACCCCCCACTTTGGACCGGATATCTCGTTCCCCACTGGGGAAACTAACCATCCTGCAATACTTACCTAGTTGCCTGCAGACCCAGGGACCACATGGTGAAGCTAAAAAGGCTGCTCCGACAGATCCTGCTCTGAATCATAAAGGCTCAGAAAACTGTGACTGGACTTGATTAGGTGTGCCAGAGGTTCTGGAGGAGACTAAACAGTCAACCTCACTCCTCAACCCACAAAGACGAATCTCAAGTTTGGAAGTTGCACTGACCCAACTTGCCTCATCTGGGCTGAGGAGTCACATCCCATCCGCTGTCCACCTACCCAAGGGGCTCTTCATATTTGGCTGAGCCATTTCCTTGTTTGGTAGTAAAAGATGTATCTGAATTTCAGTCTGTTTTGCAGGGTTGAGCATAAGGGTGCTCTTCCGATCATCTTTGAATTACTAAGCTCACAATCTAGGTGTTGCTCAATGGTTCAGCTGAGCTTCAGTCATGAGTTAGCCAGACTTTTGATTGTTTTTTTAAATTGAACTGTGTATGGTACCGTATTCTGCTTGTGTTATTTATGGGTGCTGTAGTTGATTTGCAGTGTTGTATTTGTGCATATGTGGTCTGTTATATAGTAAATGTCCTTGAGTAGTTTGTTGTATTGTGTATTATATCTATGTGGGCTGTGTATGAGGGCTACTTTTGAAATTGTGTGAATGGTATATCACATTGTGTGTTTGTGGGACTGTGTGAGGACTGTTTAGATTATTTGTATGAGGAAGAAGCTTATTCTGCAACCAAGTGTATATCTAGCAGTGTGGGTTACTTTCCAGGGGTCTAGGGGGGATGGACTGGCCAGGTACAGGTACAATGGCAAGAGCTGCAATAGTTGTTTGGGCTGCTCTACTCCAGTGTGGATTCCTGTGAGGAGAGCAAGTTTTCTGAGATCATTTCCTGTAAGTGCTGCAATTTGTAAATTGAGTATTGTCCCTCATCTTCAGTGCTCACCACTCTATTTGCACTAGCAGATATTGAAGCCCCATTAGGACTCCTGATTGGCCAAAGCCTGTTTGGCTCTGGCAGCCTTGAGTGCCATGCCTTGGCACACATGTCATAGGTTGCTGACCCCTGACTTAGGCTTTTCCATTTCCTAATTTAATCTGTTTAACAGCAAATCAATGTTTAACAGAGATATTATTTAATACGTTAAAAATATGGTTGTACTATTTATAAATTTAAGGGTAACATTACACTTTCAATATGCCCAAAAGATCTCCCTGACTGTCCCTGTGCCTGCTCATTAATGTAAGGGAGCTAGGAAGTCTGCACCTCGGCAGGTATAGTTCACTGTGTGTGCTCCATTGTACTCCCAGACCAGTCCAGAAGGAGCATTTGCAGTTATCTACACCTGCTGAAGGTGCAGACCTAAAACTCCACCCACTGGACAACAAGGGACCATTATTACAACCCTCCCTCCCCAACGTTAGGACCACTAGGACCACCAGGGACAGGACCACAGCTCACTTTGTAACACAAAGGAATCAAGAACATAGCACACCTGCCCAAAGGTAAGAATGGGGAAGCGCAAATATTTATTTAAAACATATTTGTAATATATGGGGATGACCATAATGGCCTCCTCACACACAAATTACCAATCAAAACACACATTAAAGCTACCCTTACAACCATTCATATCACTCACAGATATCCACACACAACCACATCACACATAGCCACATATTTTTACAACTGTGGACGTTTCTGGTGCAAAACAGGATAACAAAAGCTAGAAAAATTGATATGGGCATTGTTAATAGATAGTTATTGCAGTGGAGATACAGGTCCCCTGGCTGTGGCTCACCCAGCCGCTACGAAAGAAATTTAATATAATTTAATTTATACAAGCACATTATGTTTGCTTGACACATTCTTATCACCTGCCTTAATAACTGAACTTTATGACACACAGGAGGCTGCTGTAGGCTCCAGCAGGCAATTAACAGAGCAGGAGACAATTCTAAAGTTGAACACACTGTGCAGTAAGGGAAGCTTAAAAAGTGGGCTGTTTTTTTCAGGAAGTCTATAAGGAGGCTGTGTGAGGTGCAGTTGTAATAGTTTATAATAATGGAGACCTTATTAAGTATATTATTAATAACAGCTGACTAGTACATGGGTCATGAAGGATTTATTTTCCATTTAGGGCACCTTTGGAATTTGCGTAATTCTGGAGAGAAAAGACCATTGTGAAAACCCTATGGTTTTCTAAAGAGTGTTTGCTACAGAACTCATAGTGCATCATATTACTTTGTTTTCTAGAGTTTTAACTCTGACCTGAGGGTTTAGGTTTGAATAAACATATTTGTTTCTTAAAGGCTATTGATCAGTGTATTGGGGCAAAGCATGTACAGTTAACGGTAGAATTTGGCCATCTATTTCTCTCGTTATTTTAAACGAGATGGATTGTACAGTTCTGAATATCAAGCTGTGTAGCTGAAAAACATCCAACAATAACGACTTCTTTAAGAAGTTAGAACTACATTTTAACCTTCAAAATACATGTATTACATTTTTAACAAATACCACGGATTGACTCGGTGTTTACTTTGCTGCATGAGACATATGTACTTGATTTGGATATTTTTTTCAAAAAAAAAAAATCAAAACTGTTTTTTGATGAAACAAGCAGTTACTAAAAATACTAAAATGTTATTTTGCTGTATAGGAAGTTACAATCATCATAAGTTACTGGATGAAGAAGTCCAAAGGGTCACAGACTGTCTTCCCACATGACAAGCTCAGCGAATTGTCTAAGCCACCCACACAACTGGTAAAGAGACATCTCGGAAGTTTAAGAGACTCTTGTAGGACAGTAATATACATAAAAATACATCTTATTAATGTGAAAAATAGTAACATGGTTAAAGCCAAACTAATATCTATCTATCTATCTATCTATCTATCTATCTATCTATCTATCTGTCTGTCTGTCTGTCTGTCTATTTCTGCCTGTCTTTCTGTCTGTTTGTATCATTTTCTGTCTATCTATATAGATAAATTAAGGTAAACCATGTATTAGGAGAAATTCCTCAAAACCATAAAAAAATATTAATACTGAGGAATCCTGAGAACACATTTTCTCTTAATATATACATCACGTATGTATATTTTCAATATTACGTGCTTCTGGTTAGGCGTAGAGCTAGATATTGGAAGTTTCTATGCGGCAGCAGTGCTCTTTGTAGTTTAAGTGTTGCTTTGAGATTAGGGGCCTCTTCGTGGCATGCATGAAAAGGATTAATATATGATTGATGACTCCCATTATACAGTATAGCATCTGATAACATGATGGTTGTCTGAATCCACCTAAAGATTGATAGGTATATGTGGAGTTAGAAGTGTGAGACATAGGATATATTAATAGTGAATTATGTTCTCCAAACATTTGTTACTTCAGAATTTTTCTAGAGACTACTCACATTTACCCAGATGTTCAGAAACTACTTGTTCAGTGGAAAGAATTTTCATCAGAAGTAAGAGGCAACATTGACTTTTAGCTGAGGAATCCAGCTGCGTTTCAACACTCTTCTCTGGTTAATCAAGATACACTTGTCCTTGGAGGAGCAGATGAGGCAAATTGGGACACAGGAAATACAGAATAAGATGCCCACTTTCCATGTTCATTAAACAATGAACTAAGTTGTAGGGTTTATGATATGCATACTACAGTAGAGATCTAGGAAGTGAGAATAGACCATTGTGCTTTGATTTTAATGTTTATTTGTGATACAAAATGATCTTACTCATTGTATGATTCTAGCTTTTATTTGGGGTTTAGAACAACGCAAAGCTAAACATGTCTTAAGTTTCACAAAACTGGGTTTTACCTAAGCCAAAAATGTTTATTATGTTGTATTTAAAGTATTATACTTTCTGCTAACCATGAGATCACCGCAGTGAAAATAGTTTGTTCTCATACAGCTAATATCCAATATCACGTATCTACCTCATTAAAATGGCCGATTCTTGCTTAATATATGTCTAAATGACCACTGTTACATTCATGTAAACAAAACAAACATTGCTACTATGCTACGGAAAATCTAATGAAAATAAACCAACATGAAGAAGAAACCATATACAAGATGAAACCAATCGATTTGTATAATATTTTTGCCTCCCCTATCCTTTTATTATTTGGATGGATTATTCTTAGACTTAGGTGGAGTTTATTTTCTAATCTCCATGTTTGTAAATCAATGGCAACATTTGCACATAACAGTCAAAATAAGAATCAGTCCGACTACTTATCAGTTAATTGCCTCCGAATTCATCAAAGATTGCAAACAAAGGAGGGATCCGCACTCTCGTCACTTGTAGACCTCGGTGCACTGTACCCAGGGCTGGAAACCCCCCAATCCATATAGTGAAGAAAATGTAGTCCAGGCACTCAGGGTCTTTTTCAAAAATGAAAAAGACCCTGAGTGCTTGGACTACATTGTCTTCTCCAAAGGAAGAAAATTGTGGATAAAATTAAGGAGGTGGTGACGTTTTCTAAATTGTCTCTATAAAAGGAGAGGGAATTAATGTGTGTGTGTGTTTTTAATAATTAAAGTGTAACAATACATGAATAAAGCCCATATTCTGCCCCTAAAAACACACAATATATCCTATTATACACACACTCTAAAGCCTATACACACTACACCCCTTATACATACAGTGCATCCCCCATTCACTCATTATGTCCCCTATACTTAAACTATAGCCCCTATAAACACACACTATTACCGCTATACACACAGTGCATCACTTACACACACTCACTATTTCCTCATTACTCACACAATATACCCCCTTTATCCATACACTATATACTCTGTACATACTCACTATGCCCCATGCACATATGCTACACCCCTCATACATACACGCATATTGTACCCCCTCTACACAAACACTGCAGCTCCTATACACAAACACACACTACAACACAATAAACATACACACTGTACAACTCCTGATATACACACAAACAATGCAACTTCTGTACACATATGCACATATTGCAACACAAACACATAAACTCTAAAGCATTAATAGACACACACTATAGCCCTACTGACATACACGCATGCACACTCTACAGCCCCTAAACAAACACACAATCTCTACAGTTCTTAGAGATTCACGCACATACACATGCTTCAGCCCATGCATAGTATGCCGAAAACAGAACCCTTTACAAAGTCTATACCAGAAAGAGCCTCCTATATTCACACATAATCCCACAAGCAGCCTTCAAACACATAGATCACCATAGACTACCAGTCACACACAACACTCTCTACAAGACCACCCTCAAACGTAGTGCAAGTGTTAAATAAAATTTGCATTATTTTTTTTAATCTTAAATAGAGCAGGGCTCCAACACAGCCAATCTTAGTGCTGGGCAGCAAGCTCATAATATCTATGTGAGAGCTGCACAGTCAAGGGGGAGTGTGACGTGGGGGGACACAAAAGGCATGGTCACCTTTGCAGCCAAAAATCCTTACACTGGGCTCTCAATCATTTATTGCCTGTAGGCCCTGTGACTTGTCAGTCTGCCCCTGAATAAAACAGAAGACAACTCTAAAAACTAAAAGTTTGGGTAAATGGCTTACAACTACCCACCCGCTCTCACTTTCATACTAGACTCTTATGGGGAATAATGCTTAATCTTATCCTTATTCTCTTTCTCTGCTTAAATACCATTTTCTTCTCTTCTCTACTCCTCTGTGGACTGACGTTCCCTAGTATATTTTCTTTAATTTATCTCAACTATTACCTAGGGACTATTTTGTCTTAGTATTTTTATTACACTTGACAAGGTTGACAAAAATGGGGAAGCTAACATTTGTCAATCCTTGTCAAATGCGTACTTCTGTTATCCTTGATCTTTTAACCTGTCTTCTCATATTTGTCTCATTCTGTATCCCTGACCTTGACTTGTCTCTGATCATTCTATATTTACGTTAAGTCTGGCCACACTAAGGCCTGGTGATATGTATATTTCTAAAGAGTTTCATTATATTGTGTTTTACTTAGACACTGCCTGTTGGCTCATAGTATATCCTGACACAAAGGTGTCAGGTAAGTATTACTCACCTACCCCTGCACCCCCTGGCAACTCACCCTCACCTGCAAAGTCCTTGTAGGAAGTCTTAGTATTAAGACACCTGATGGAGATAGAGCCGCTTTAAACTAAACTTTTTTTGGTGCTTTAGAATGTAGCACGAAACCCACTAAAACAGAATTAAAAAGAAAGAAAAATAAGACTCCATCAAGTAAAACCTTTCACTACATGGGATAAGGTGTGATCTTCCCAATGATTTATGATGAGCACCCCAAGTTAAATATCTCTTTATGAATAACACACCATACTGCACATACTGTGTATAAAGAAAAAAAATATGCAGGTCTGTCTGGTTAATTTCTCAATATTCTCATGATTTCATACATATCTACATAAAGGCAGTAAGAATATTGAAAAGGTCCTCCATGATTAATGTGTGTTCCTGGGGGTCCCACTATAATTCATTAATTCACACTCTCGGCACATGAAGTATGGAAATGGGGAGGGGGAAATGTGCAGGTTCACGTCGCGATCCCACCTAAATATTGTATCACCTCGACCCAGTGCTGTTTGGGTGTGTCAGCTTGTGAGAGTCCAGCAACAATGGACTCTTGTGCTTCAAGAAACCCGTGGACTCTCTTGAAACCTAACTTAAACCTGAAGTGTACTTTGTAACTTTTTCCCATTTGTTACATATGTCTTCCTACCTGTAGTCCCTCACAGATATTGGTTGGGAAGTTCCCCTTTTTGGTTTCCTCCAATTGCATCGTTCTTTTTTCCATGGCTGAATATACCACCTGAATTTATTGCTGAATGCAGAGAACTTGTATTTGAAAATAAGATTTAGATTAACCCCCTCAGCTCTCACCAACTGAGAGGGACACTCCAAGTGAGAAGTAACAGCTAATTTCCATTTTAATATATAATATAGATCATGCATTAAATGGTCCAAGCAAATAAATACATACTCACTCGTAAGGCTCCTATGCAAGGCAAGCAGCAGTATTATAGAGCACTCAGACTAGGAAGAAACTCCACCAATTAGATGCCTCCTACTCTAGTCTATAAGGTCTGATCTTATCCCACAAACCCATGTTCAGCAGTGGCTTATGAGATACAAAGTTCAGGCCATGCTGCAGTTTCACTCATCAGTTCTGATGAGACAAACTTGTAAATAAGTTAACAACAGCCATATTGCAGCTGCTATCAGTTTATTGACAGACTGGATCATAGTTGTGGGAATACGGTGGAGCACAGTCAGATGCTGACCACACTGTTGCGGCTCAATCTCTTTTTGAGAGTTGGAGAGGATGCAAGTAGGAACTGAGACATCTATAACTGAAGGGACAAGTTATAAGCAAGGAAAAAAATGACAGGGGACTATGTGGCCCCATAACCTGTACAATAAGCATTGGTTGCCTAATGATCCATTTGCCCCTTTAATATAGAGCCAAGCTACATCCATTGATGTTGCCATGGATGAATCCAGAGGTGAAAATTGTGAAAACTGTATTCCAACAATTAAAATTAATTTTAGGAAAACGTGTGACTTTATTCATTAAATAAAAAGCAACTTCATAATAGATATTTAATAATATCTAATAAGGATGGGTACATTTAGCCATCAATCAATTTCAATTAGACTCAGGTCTTTAGTCTATTATTAGAAATTGACTAGGCCAAAGGTAGTGGTTATTCCAGACTTGAATATACCACCCTCCTAGTGGTCAGTCACACCTTTGAATGACACTCCAGTGGTGTCAAGGGGCATAACCCCAAAATGGAAGTACTAGAAAATGACTTTCCTGTTACTGGTCACTGAAACCAGAACCAGGACTGTCAGCTGGACAAAATATTAGTAAATAATAAATAATTAAAATTGCCATCAATATGTCGGAATATAGAGAGGGTTCATACGTAGATTCAAGTGATTAAAATAGCCTAAATGGCTCTTCTCCTGTCTAAAGGACTCTTAGAAGTAAAGAATCTATTTGAGACTCAGGACTTTAATATAATCAACCATAGTATGTCCATGTCAACAGTAAAAGCGGTTGTGGAATGAGCCTTTAAATTGACTCCTGTAATCTAGATGGAAAAGACAATCAGTCAAAGAGGAACTTTGAATAGTGGCTGTATATAAAGTAACACTTGTAGCAAAGCCCGCTGTATCAAAAAAGCTACAATAAAAGTGTAGTTAAGCAATCAGCAATTAAGGATAACAGCATTTAACTGGATACCAAGTAACATATAATAAAAGGAAAAAAGTCTACATGAAAATTCGTAGATTAATCACAAAATATGTCATAAATGATAAATCTTAAGTTAGTGGTTTCCTAAATCGCTATGGGGTACAAAGAGTATCTGTTGCCCCCTCAAATACATACAGAGCCAGTCCAGATTCCTCAATCAAATAGATAGTTCCAATCTAGATAGCATATCAGGAGTGACAGGAGGAAAAGGTGAAAAATTAGGAAATAATAGTGCTAATGTGTAGAACCATGCTTAGAGTGCTGACGAAGGTGCATCACAGCACCGAAACGCGCGTCGGGTTGAAGGAGGTTTTTCTCCTTCACTTTCACTCACTTTTTATTTTCACTTCTAGGGCACTATTTCACGATGTGTAGGTAACCAGCACTCTAAGCATGGTTCTACACATTAGAACTATTATTTCCTAATTTTTCACCTTTTCCTCCTGTCACTCCTGATATGCTATCTAGATTGGAACTATCTATTTGATTGAGGAATCTGGACTGGCTCTGTATGTATTTGAGGGGGCAACAGATACTTTTTGTACCCCATAGCGATTTAGGAAACCACTAACTTAAGATTTATCATTTATGACATATTTTGTGATTAATCTACGAATTTTCATGTAGACTTTTTTCCTTTTATTATATGTTACTTGGTATCCAGTTAAATGCTGTTATCCTTAATTGCTGATTGCTTAACTACACTTTTATTGTAGCTTTTTTGATACAGCGGGCTTTGCTACAAGTGTTACTTTATATACAGCCACTATTCAAAGTTCCTCTTTGACTGATTGTCTTTTCCATCTAGATTACAGGAGTCAATTTAAAGGCTCATTCCACAACCGCTTTTACTGTTGACATGGACATACTATGGTTGATTATATTAAAGTCCTGAGTCTCAAATAGATTCTTTACTTCTAAGAGTCCTTTAGACAGGAGAAGAGCCATTTAGGCTATTTTAATCACTTGAATCTACGTATGAACCCTCTCTATATTCCGACATATTGATGGCAATTTTAATTATTTATTATTTACTAATATTTTGTCCAGCTGACAGTCCTGGTTCTGGTTTCAGTGACCAGTAACAGGAAAGTCATTTTCTAGTACTTTAGTCTATTATTATTTTTCTTAACTTAGTGG